ACCCCGTTTTTCGAAAATCGAGTTTTCATCAGATCTCGATGTTTGAAGGTCACAGGAAGCTTCCCTGACCTCTTGTAACTTTTGAACGACTTGACCGATTTCATCGCGGTTGGTGCCATTCGAAAGGGCTTCACTAAACTTAGATTTCCTGAAAATTTGAACCGATTCGGACCGGTAGATTTCGAGAAAATGCAAATAAAGTGAAAAAAAAAAGTTGTTTTTTTTTATTTTTTTTAAATATCTCTGGATTGGCTGAACCGATCGGTCTCAAAAACTAATCAGCTTTTAACCTTGAAAACCCCCATCGATCGCCACCAAAAACGTAAGAATCGGTTGATGCGTTCGTGAGATATCGTTGTCGAAAAAAAATCGAAAAAAGTGTTTTTTTGTAATAACTTCGAAATTCATGGCTCGATCGATTTAAACTTGAAAATTTTTCATGGAGCTTCAAAAACTGCGTCGATTGCCGCCAACCGCGTGAAAATCGGTTCATTCATTCAAAAGTTATTGCCGTTTGAAAATTCAAAAAATTATGTCTTTAAACTGCTATTAGAGTTTTGAGCTCGAAGAGCTCAAATTGACACAAAAATAATATTTTTGAGCTCGAAAAGCTCAAAAACGTAATGTTTAGTTTGAAGCGTTTAAGTACAAAATGAGCGGGAAGTTGCAGGGATGGCCTTTAGGGTGAACCGTTTTTCTAATTTTTTTGACCTATTTTGATGTTTTTTATGAAAATGAAGTTAGCCGACATTTCAAAATTTTTAGAAATTTTTTATTGAAAAAATTTCAATTAAAAAATTAGAAAAAAAAATTTCACATGTAAAAAACTTAAAAAGCTATAAGTGCAATTTTTTAAAAATATCTATTTAGTTGTAATTTAATTAATAAAAAAAAATCAAAAATTTTTAGCCGTCTGCTAACTTCAATGTCATTGTTTTTTTTTTTTTCCATTTCTATTGCACTAAATCAATTTTTGAAAAGTGTTAAATTAATCTCCGTTAAATCATCTTGACAATAGTATGCAAAATATCTTGATTCCGTGAACTAACAAGACTATAATAACAAAAATACTTGCCGAAATGAGGCGAAAAAAATTTTTTTGCTTCGCATCACGAGTCGTACAAAAAAATTAATTGTTTATCGGCCCTAGATATACAGTTTGTATTAACAAACTCTGTTAAATAATACAATATTAAATAATATTCAAAAATAAATTTGAATCTACTAAAAATTTATGTATCAAATATACCTAATCGCAGTTAAATTTCTGTCACTCGTTTCATCAAGTACTTCCTCATCAGTCTCTACGTCAGTTTCTTCATTTTCCATATGTAAAAGATCAGGTGATTCTTCTAGGCATTTATCTTCAAAAAACATGCTACTCCTGAAATTTTGAAAAGAATTAATTAATAAATCGAAAATATAACTTAACAATTAAATAAACCAAGCTTATGTTTTGATTACTAATTTTATTCATACATTTGGTCACTGAAAATATCTCCCTCGGAACCCATGGTTGTTGTACTAAAGAACAAAAATGCTAATAATAAAACATAAATTTTAATAAGAAACAAATTATTTATATTCTATATAAATGACTTCATTACCTTAATTCATCGCAGGAGTTGTTTTTGTTATTGTTATTTTCGGTTATACTTTCAAGAATATATTTTAAACTAAAAAACAGAATTTTAAATAAGAAATCATTTGATAAGAAATTTAATTAAGTCATTAAGTTGATTACCAGTAATTTTGTGCATCGACCAGCGAATCATTCTCTATACTATCTTGGATATATTTAAGAGTGTAACAAATGTCTGTGTTGACAATTGTCATTGCTTCAGTATTAAATTTATCTGGTAATGAAACTTTGCCACCATATTGCTGTAATTGAAATATTTTTATAATGAATTTATTATTTGTTTATGAAGAATTACTATTGTTTACATTTTGAATTACTAACCTCTATTTTGCGCGCGAGTTCAAAGTATTCACGATGGTCAAAACCTATCAAGTTGAATAGTATTGATTTTCTATTTGAGGTAAATAATTTATCTGTCATTTTTCATTTAAAGTATTTACAAGTGAATTATTTAAAACTTAAATTAATAATTAAAATAAACAGACAAACACCATAATTTTATAAACAAAACTATTTTATATTCCACAATAACTAACAACAGTAAATATGTTTTAAGGACATCTGTATGTAAATGTAGAAGTTCTTTACGACAGCAAAAAAGTATGATAACTTATCGAGTACACTCTGTAAGGTAAGAGCCTCAGTAGCCGCTCATGTACCAGTAAATGCTCACACTCCATGTATTTGTATATATATATACACAAATCTAGATATATACAAATACATGGAGTGAGCATGTACTGGTACATGAGCGGCTACTGGGGCTTTTACCTTACTCTAAAATTTTAAAATATGATTAATATTACCTGCGCGTAAATTTTTTCTTCACTTTATTAACACTACTTAGGGCCAGTTTTTCAACCCCGGGTTTAAGTATTTTATCATTGTGGATATATCTATATATAATAGATATATAGATATATTCACAATGATAAAATAGATAGATAGATAGATAGATATATTTTATTTGTCCTTAGAGCCGAAGCTCCCTCAAGGCCATCAATAAGCAATACATTTTTATACATATACAAGTATACAGTATTAAAATACAATTACAATAGTTCTATAATTTTGAGAGCAAGATTTTAAAGTTACCTAATACAATAAAGTTACTTAATACAGTAGCTAATTAGTAAATTCATAAACACTCTGAAAATACTTTGAAAGCAAAAATTATAATTATTTAAACAAATATAATGATGATTTTAATTGTCATCAGCCAGAAAAAATGAAAAAGGCATTTTGAAATTCAGGAAGACTATCTGCAGTTGTCAACCCAGGTGGCAACGAGTTCCAGATACGTATGCCATGGATTATGAAAGATTGCTCATACATATTGCTATTTGCTCTTGGCAGACGTAAGTAATCTTGTCTAATGTCACCTCTACGCATTGAAACATTAAGATATTGAAGTCCTGGGCCAAACAGCTGCCGATAGTTTAGCCTTATTTCTTTGAAAAACAAATATGCTATGAAGTAGTCTCTTCTCTTACTTAATTTTAGCCACCCTAATTTATTATAATACGGGGTTACATGTTCATATCTGGATAATTTAAAAATAAATCTTACACAAGAATTCATTTTTTTTCTTTGTAACCTAAGCAGCAGCTTTTTCGACATGTTAGTAAACGCAGCACAACAATAATCAAAGATCGCGGGAATATAAGCGTAGTCACTAATTTTACTCGCAATTGTTCATTAAATATTTCATTGTTAATTTTAAGTTGAGCTAACGTTTTCATAGCTTGATTACAAGTCTTTAATACTTGGTGTTCCCAAGAAAGATTATTATCTTAAATGACCCCTAGATACTTAACAGTATTAACATAAGGAATAACGCTATTATCAACCAATATATTCTCTACATTTATACAAGAATCACTGCTAACTTTTAGTCTACTGTTTAAAATACTTAAACTCGGGGTTAAAAAACTGGCCCTTAGTGGAAAAAATAACTTTATTAATACTAATTAAAATCTTTACATGATTCCTCATCAAAACCAACTCTCATCATTATATCAAGTCTGGAATCACTCATTACATTTTTTTCTTTTTTTTTTTATTTGATAATAATTAAAATTTTTTTTATTTTTTTTACATACAATACATAGGATTATTTCCTTTTGGTGCAATAAACTAAATAAATAAATAAATAAAAAATAAAAATAATCTAAATTTTTAATCTTAAATGTTCGTTGTACATATCATAATTGCAAAATGTATAGTCGAAAAATAAAGTATTCGTATTTAACACAAATTTTATTTTTATTACTTAATCTCTAACTTTACATTTTATCAATAGTAACTACGTTCCTCGTTTTATGTATAAATAAATCCTAAATTTAAATCATTCGATTATTTACAATTATTTACAGCTCGGCCATGTCCAGTAAGGCGTTGAGGGAAGTTGGTACCCAATTAGACGCCTTTTGGTTAACGAAAAGGACATTACCGTCAATGTAAGCCTGGACGTTTCCAACTTTATATACTTGCTTAGCCTCGCGATATCGATTCGCCAAAGGCATAAAGACAATATCTCGTTCAGCGCATCTTTTCTGCACAAGATCCTTGAAGCCTTGAGGAATTTGCGAGGCAGTCCGTACAGCTTCTGCGAGTCTCTGTTGAAATAATAAAATTAAAAATTAAAATAAATAATAATAAAAATTAATTCATAAAGATAAAAGTAATAAAACTTACATCAATTCGGGGTTGAGCTGAAGCCGGAATCTGAGGAGCTGGCTGGGTCCTTTCAAGACTCATCAGGTACGAAACATACTCAGCAGAGCCTGGCTGAAGTCCCTGAGTATTAGAAACAGCACGATTCATCATATCCAGGGCTTTCTTGAAGTTGTCCTTGATGACAGGCTCGGCCAGAAGCTTGTCATTGAGCATCTTCTTCCAGCCGAGGTACCACTGGGTGATCTGGTCGTAATTAGGCGAATGATTGAGCCAAGCTGCCAAAACATGAAGCCATTTGGGAAAGAAACACTTGTTCAGCAGTCCAGCCATCGTGTGAACTGGCAGTAAGCCCACCCAGTCGTAGACCCAGTTCCAATTGTCCAGATGCTGGGAGAGTGGATTAATAATAAACTCAGACATTGTGGTTTCCAGTTTCGGCAGGATGTTTTTGATGAGGAAAGCCTCCATGTCACCTTTTGGAAATACCTGGGACCAAGGCTCCAACATGAGTCTCGCGGTTCTGTCTGACGGATGCCAGCTTCCCAACGCAGAGCCGAGTTTCCGTCTGATTGTCGGGTAAATCTCAGTATTCATGTTATCTCCCAACAAGGGCAGCCACGGGTGGATCCACATGTGAATGGGGACTGTGTCAGTCCTTGGATCCCACTCAGTCACCTCAGCAGTAAGTTTCTGCAGGACTGTCATCGCCAGGCCATCCATAATGAACTTGGGGATGAAGGGCATCCAGTTCTCGAACAGCTCAATCAACGGGTCTGGCTGACGACAAGCCCACTGCTCAATAGCTCTGCGAACTGGAGGCATCCAGGCATTCCAAATCAGCTGATCATACGGCGTGGTTGATGTTCTGGCTTCTATCAGGTTGTTTCCGATGCTCAGGATGTCTTTCCACTGCCTTATCGAGTCGAGGTGATGCATTGGTTCCGTCAGAGGATTCCACTTCGCCATCGAGCTTGCTAGTTTCGGTGTGACGAGACTGCTGGCCAGCTCCCCGAGCTCGTACGTCTTGTAGTCGTTGTAATACTGGTCCTGTAGTTTTCTAAAAGCTTCAGCAGTCTCATCGAGGCTCATGTCATTGTTATTGATCATCAGATTGTCAATAATTTTAACGACGGTGTCAAGAGTGTTGATCAGCTGGTCATGTTGCTCAATAACTTTCTCCATGTTCTTCTGCTCGGCTTCAAGAGCCACCACCCTGTCGCTTAGATGTCGAGTTTTTCTGTCATTTTGGATTATATTTTGCTCACACATGTCGACGATCAAGTTCAAATTATGCTGGAGTTCTGGAAGTGCAAAATGAGTCTGAGATTTTTTGTCAAATTCAGCAGCAGAATCATCAGGCCGGTGTTGACCGGCTATGGCGTGGTACCCGCTGAGTACCCTCTGTTCTGGACCCGTCATGTCGATGACTTTGACACGACTCATGTCACTGGTGGAAGTCTTGACATTCGGCCTGAGCTTCCCATCCTCGAGAACTTGATCGACGCTTTTGTACGAGTACTTGGTCTTCTTCTTCGTAACTCCATCAGTCTTGCGCCACTGCGACAGCTTCACTTTGAACTCCTTGGTCTTCTCAACATCCTCGTCTTTTTTTTCCTGCGGAACCTTGGCGAGCTTCTCAGGACCGTAGGCACCAATCGCACCACGTCCACGTCTTACTTGAGCTTCCACGGGAGCACTTATACCCTGGAGAGATTTTCCCAAACCTTTACCGGGCTCGAAGCCCATTTGGAGCAGCAGCTTCGCTCCAATCCCCTTGGTGTGCACTTCCCAGTTTCCAACTCCAGTTCGCATCAGCGAGGGATTAACTGGAGCACGTTTCTTTCTGAGCCCAGCGATTCCACCGACTGCGTCGGCATTCATAGAAAATGATGGCCTCGAGGTTGCTTCTTCCTTCTCGGAATCACTGGACGTGTTTGACACATCTTGGTCCTCGTCATCTTCGTCATCATTTTTGTCTTTCTCCTTTTTTTTGTCTTTATCTTTGGACTTTCCCGCTTGCTGGATCCCTCCAGCTACGAAGCTAACCGGGGCTGTGTAATTCTTAGGTCCTTTATTAAATCCTCTTGGAGGAGCTCTTGATGGGACTTCCTCTTCTTCGCTGTCATCTGCCCACATTCCTAAGATTATATGATTTATTAATTTATGTAATTAAAAAGGATAAATACACTTTTAATAAATAATTTTTTTTTGTCAGTAATACTTATATTTTTGTAAGTAATAAATAATAAATAAATAGAATTACATACCAAGCATTTGTTGCTCCTTTGTAAATTTTCTCCTGGGCCGATTGGAGTGAAATTCATTTTCATCATCAGACATTTTTATTTATTTGTGACAAAGCAATTAATAATTAAAACTTGAAAAACGTCAACAAACGTTTTAAAATTAATGTTGATGATGGGTTATGTTTTGCGAAGATTGACCGTCTCTATAAAATAATGATAATTAGTATCCGCTGCGTGCGCAAGCGCGCGTCTGAATGTTAATAGTATGAAATTATATACATATATTTTTATCGCGTTAAAATTTTGTCATAAGTCATAAACTTAAAATATTATTGCTCTATTGTCAATGTATGTTGACAGATTTACTTGCTACTAAAATTATAGAAATATCTATTAAATAATATTATAATTATATCAAACATAAAGATTAAACTGAAAGAAAATTTATTATTGAAATTTTTGACTTCTTATTTATAAAAAGCAAAATCTTTTTGTGTACGTAGCTGTTTCAGCAACTTCTTCGAACAGTTTACATAAGTCATCATCTGGTAATCTCAGTGACTTAGTTACTAAAAAATAAAATTAAATGCGGTAAAATTATTTGAATTGATCCATACAGTTAAAGAAGTAGGAAGTGAATGAATTAATTTAAAGTTCTTTAAATTAATTAGTTCTTATTCAGCCTTTCTTCTCTTAAATCTCTCCAAGCTTGGACTAGACTAGTCTACAGAAGGCGAGCGCGAAGGATCAAATTATTTCCCATAAGGTACCAAATTACTCCCTTTGAGTGGAATTTTTTGTAATGGTCTCGCTTGATGCTGTAATTAAAAAAAATCATTTTTCAATTTAATTAAATATGTGAATTTTAATTAGCACATTATTATAGCTATACTCGAAAAAACGAAAATCACCAATCCAATTTTTAATAAAGTTTTTTTTTTATGTCAGTTTACTCAAATCAGCCAAAAATTTTTTATAAATTAAGGTAGTACCCTCGCCAGAGGCGTTTTTTTAGGAATTTTTTTTAAATTTTGGCAGATTAATATTCATATAATTCTGCATCGATTGACGCAAATTGAAATTTTTTGACNNNAAACTTTCATTGATTTTTACCATCTAGATTTTTAAATATTATTAAAAAATAACTGTATTATTCAAAAATAACCATGAGTAGAAGTGAGTAAGGAATAGCAAGTGAGAAAGACAAAAATATCCTAAACTATACCCAAATTTACTCGCACTATATGTCGCGAGGGTACTACCTTAAGCCGTTTTTTAATACAAAGCAACAACTTTCTTATTATTTTATCATAATTTTGACTTGAAATGAGAAATTAGTTATTTTAACTTAAAAACCATAAGACTCAATTTTATAAAAGATATGAAAAATTTTGATAGCTTTTACACAAACACTTTTTATTGTTCTTTTTTTTTTTTCATCAATTTCAATGTCTGTGATAAACTGAACAAATATAAAATTATTTTATAAAAAAAATTGGTTTTTGATATTTATGTATAAGTTTATTCAATTACTATTCTGTTTGACTGCAATTGATTAAGTCAACAGTCTTTATCTTCAGAGTAGATTTCGTTAATATCATGCAGCTCATTGCTATAAAATTTTAAATGACACTGAAGTAGACAGAAATAAAAAATATTCTTAAAATTTTATGGCAATTAAATTATTATAAAAAAAATTTAATTAAAAAATTTCACATGTGAAAATTAATAAAAATTACAAGTGAAAATTTTTAGAAACGTTTTTTTATTATAGTTGATTTGTTATAAAAATTTTTAAAATTCACAGTTGACGGCTAACTTCAGTATTATAATTTTAACTGGTTCAATTATTCAATCATGAATTCAAAACATCTAAAACTATAACTTATACTTATACTTAATTTAATTTTATATTATTTAAGAAATTTAATTAGTCGGTTTGCTCTTGAAACCGTTGATTGAATGATATAAAAAAAATTAATAATGACGTGACTGGACGTGACGGTGTTTATCCTAAACTTTAAAAATTTCTTGCGTTACGAATTAAGTTTCTGTGACATCTCTCGGTTCACTTTGCAACTAAACTTTTTTTCTTTCGAATATACTCACCTCATGATAAAAATACTCGTAGTCAATCAGCTGTTTTTATTGAAATAAAAACACTGCTCCAAATTATGTAATTTTTTTATTTATAATTTAAATATTGTGGTTAGTAGTAAATAACAACAATTATAATATACTAATTAAACTTATTCAAATATCGGAGTAATTATCATCAGGTAAATTTTCAGTTATTCCAATTATATTGTCATGTACTAATTATATTCATCTGTTTATATCAATAATGTATTTTTTAATTCAGAGACATGGGCGGACACGGACATCATCATGGTCCTCCACCAGACCCGTACAGAATTCCAAATGCTAGCGAGTATGACACCATCTCACATCCAGAACTGATAAGATTTCAGCAGCGTCTAGCTAAACATGGCTTGAAAGATCCTTGGATCCGGAATTACAACTGGAGGTTCGATAAAAAATACGGTACCAAGATGTCTCGGTTGGGATCGTTGGTGTTTTGTGGAGTTCCATTAGGAGTTGGTATGTTCATCGCCACTCTTGGTATTGAAAAAGCTTTTGGTATTGATTGGCACGCACACCATCATGCACACGAAGAAGGCCACGGTGAAGCTCACCACTGAGCTGTCAAGCGTGTATAAAGTAAAATATTTGAATAAAAAGTGATTCAACTGTATTGTTGATGGTGGTATAGTTGATAGGTATGTAAATGTTTAAATGTTAAATAAATCGATAAATGGTTGTAACATTTCAATAACGTATTTTTATTTATTGCTTTTCTACATGAGAAACCGTTCGTCGATGAGAGTTTTACGTGAAATACTTTCGCTTTGATTGAATTTAGCGAGTAGCGCCAGTAGTTGGGATAAAAATATTGTAAAAATTGCCGATAGAATGTAATTATGCCCCAGGACCAGGGTAAATAAAAATGTTGATAGTTCAAATGTCGCCAATGCCCACTCGTTGCCGTGGAAAATGATTGTATCAAAAGAGTAGTTATTATCTGGAACAATGATGAGAGTTGAATTGATTATTTATTCAATCAATTTAATAGTTAATTGCATTGTTACTCACCTATATAAAAAACAGTCTTGTCAGTAGTGTCTACCAGTTCAATATCACATAATTTTTCTAAAAAGCATCTTTCTTTGACTATGTAATCAATATTAACATAACAATGGTCCAAAAAACCGCATAAAAATTTACGTAATTTTAAATGCGTTTTACAACGTTCATTCCACATAGATAATTTTGAAAAATGACGTCGTGAAAAATTTCTGGCATTCTAAAATAAAATTTACAAAAAATTTCGTTAATATATTTATAAATATTAATGTATATATAATTCAAGCTTTCAAATCATTAATTTACCGAATTAATTGATCCCAATAAAGCATTATAAAAAACTCTAAATTTTCTAGAAATACAAACAACAAAAGTCTGTTCAGTCGTGCCAGGTATAAGGCCTCTGTGAGCACATAAATTATTTTCTTCTCTCTGTAAATCGCTTATCAGACTCATCAAATCTGTGTCAGCAAATCCATGGACGGATCTCAATTAACAAAAAAGAAATGTCAATCTCATGGTTAATAATATTTATATTAGAAATTCTTACCTGCCATGGATGTAATATCCATAATAATCATCAGTAAAAATCAACAAACTGATATTAGCGACCGAACATAAATCAACAAACCCCTGCAAACTATTCTTAACGTATTTTTCATACAAATTCACGAGCATTAATTGAAATAAATAAACAACAACATATATTATTACTCCTACAGCATACTGCATTGTAAAATTATGGTCCACAAGTTTATTTTCAGTCATAGTCATGTCTGGTACTGCTAGGCCCAACATCTTCAGTCCAATTACCTGGAAAAATAAATTATTTATTAAAATAATTCAATTTTTATATTTAAACGATGCACAATTAATTTTTCTGACCTCAAGTATAAAAATTGTTGAAAATATTTGAAAAGACACGCTGGTTTTTCTTTTAGTTTTAATGCGCAACCATTGACTAATAACGAAGTAAATTCTCCATACACTCACTAACCATTTGTCATTTGCGATATTTTCAGTATCGTTTTCATTTAGAAGGATTTTATTGCCTTCTGACGATTCTTCTGATGAATTACTATGATTTATTGATTGCTGACTTGGAGAACTGGCATTGGAATTATTAATATTATTATTAGTATTATTCAAACTTGACTTCGATGAATTTTTAGTGCGCGATTCAACAAGTTCGGATATTGTTTGAGAATGTTCGGTGTAAAATTTTTTTCTGTAAGATTTCCTTAATGACGTATGTGGAGAGTCGTAGCTAGCTGGGGATAAAACACGTCGTGATTGTTCCCAGTCAACAAAAAAAATGTTTACATTTCTATGACGGTATATTAAATATAATACCCCGATTACCTGAAACAAAAATGATCACCAATAGTTGATAATAATTCTTAATTCAAACTAGTTCATTCAAATCAACTTACTTTTCCACCAAACGCAACAATTGTTGATATCTTAATAATCAATTCAAAATAATCATCCGGAAGTAAAATATGTAATACTGTTTGTCCTTTGTAGAAAATAAAATAATAAATACACGAAGCTGTCGATACAAATAATAAAGCATTCCCTATCGCTTCAAATAAATTAATAAAAAATAAAAGTAACGTCGATACATTGATTAATGAATAACAATTTTTTTTACAATATCTCCAGGTTTTTAGGCCAGCGTGGATTAATGCTAAACTCGAAAAAATTCCAATTGCAATCTGAAAAAAAAATTTTTTACCGGTATTTTATCAAAAATCATAAAATTAATTTTAAAGTTAAAAATAAAATTTAATACTTCAATAGCTCCTTTAAATTCTTTTTCAGCCAATGTAAAACTAATTTTATATTCAACAGTCAGTTCGGTATTTTGAATCACATCTTGATGAGTCGCCTCTCCGTATTCGATGATAATCAAAGGAGGAAATATCTTCCCTGGTACATTTCTTCCTTGCATTTTAACCCTGTAGTTAATTAAAATTTAAGTATTTTATAATTTATAAATTATTATAAAATCATGATACAAATAAACTTACTGGACAGTCATTGATTTAAGGTAGCGTATCGCAGAAGGTTCAGGTGCTCGTAAAAAAGTTGAATTTCCTGAACTAGTAACTGCAAAGCCAGTTACACTGTCTACAGTAAAAAATTTTCTCGATAATTGCCACTGAGATATGTCGTTGTTTACATCAGATTGTATATTTTTTATTAAAATCGGTAATTCATACAAATATTTCTTTTTAGCTTCAGTATCATAGTACGTTAAATAAGGAGTCAAGATTTCGATATTAGAGTTTAGCAACTCTTTTGCATTTATTTTACATTCCTTAATGGCATTAACACCGAAGCGAATGTTTTCGAAGAAAGAACATGAAGGATTCCACTGATTTGTTGACTTGAATTGGCCATTAAGTGAAAACGTTGATGCAGCAAAGTTCATTTTACTAAACTAATAGTTTTTAAATATTAAAACTCGACTTTAAGGGGGAACACCACTGTGACGATCGAAAAAAAGAGGTGATTTTCGGGAATTTTTTTGACAGGGAAAATAAAGGGTACATTAAAGATTATTACCCTAAATTTTTATTAAAAAATATTTAATTATTACAAAGTTATTAACAATCTCGTAGAGCACTAGAAAAAATTTTCCCCTCCATGGTCGGTTCGATAATTCAAAAACGAATCATCTGACAATAAAAACCCAAATTGCTTTTTAATCAGTAAGGATGTAGTTATCGTCGCACGTACAGAATTTTGAAAATTTTT